CAGTGTCACTGGCCCTCATATGTGGGATCCGAACCGGGGCCCTCTGGCATCCCAAGCCAGCTCTTAACCATCGCGCCACTCGGCCGGCCCGAGAAATATATTATTATTAACCTAGTGACTTTCTTTCCCTGATTTTGGCTTTTCAAATCTACACAGAACTAAGACAAAGGGACATTCATAAAGCCACTTCAAACTGAGCTACTTGATTCTCCCTTTGGCCCTGCAATCCTTTGGCTCTTCCCGTCCTGCCTTTTCCTCCTCCTTCCAAGAGACTCAAGTTTACCTGGCAGAGGTTATGTTATTACATTTGTATTAACTGGGGCCATTTATTAGCTGCTAACGTGTGCCTGTCTTTCATGTGTTAGGTATTGGATCTCATTGATTATTTTTGTGCTTTACATTTGATCAGTTTTATCAAGGTTATATTTTTGGTCTTTGAAAATGATATTATCTTAAAATTAGCATCACCACATGTCCAGGGGCACCAAAGATTCAGGAACATAAAATTGACTGTGCTGAATCAGATTATCACTCCAGCAAACCAGAAAGGTCTTCATATTTGTGTTTTAAACCCTAGGAAATGAATTATTTTGTGTTAAAGAATCAACTATTATTATTTTAAAGTCTTCTTTTGTTTTCCATCATAAAGTTATTATTTCTTAAGTGTGTGGCTCCAACAGATTAATGCATGTCTCTTTCAATCTCCTTTCCCCTATAATAACTACTTTTATGGGCTGTTTCCTCTGCACTAGTCTTCATTTGTATGAAGTGTTTCTCTTCTATTGTACTGGGAATATGTGCATCTATGCTGGTGATTTGGGAACATTCTAGAATGCCCTTGCTGGCAATTACTGAGAACAAAGTGTGGCTAATGGAGGATGATAATGAGGGGGCTCTGGAAGCCTAATGTCCTAGTAGATACCATGCAGAAGGTTGTTTCAGAGCTACCTCTTTCCTGAGTGGGACCTCTGGCTTCCTAGAACAAGGACTTGTCACTTTTACTCGTGGTTTTGTTGACTTTAGACGGCCAGGTATTTCTCCAGCAAAGTCAGTTTATTCGAGAACAAAAGAATTGCAATTCAGGATATATAGTCCAATAGTGAACCACATGGAAGTCCAGAGAAACAAAGCAGAGGAACGTTTTTTTAAGGACTTAGATGGGCTTGTTGTAAACGAAGAGTCCTTTGGTGGAAACTGAGCGTTTGAAGTAGGGTGACTTTTCATTGGCTGAGTTATGGCAGTCTCCCATTGGCTGAGCTGTTGGGCGAGGAGGCGTCTTCTTCCTCCAGCTGAGGTGTAGCACTAGGTGTAATTCCTATGGGAAATGCAAGGTACCGCTCTTCCTGTTGGTGTCAGTCATGTGTGCTGAGTGAGGGGCGTGAGTTCTCTCTAATAGCCTCCTGACTCCATTTAAAATGCGGTTTTGTTTATTAATTTTCACAGTATATTTTCGGGGCCTTTGGCTCTTTAAGAGGATTCTCAGTTGCCTGGTGGATTTGGCATAGGAAATAGAACCTGTTTGAGACCCGACACCGAGTTGAATTTGCCCCTTGACCAGGCTCTTGATAGTCATTGCCTTAGTCTTCATAACTGCACAATCTTCCCAGGGAGAGTGGTGGGTGACATCAGTTTCCCTCTGGATGTATCTCCGTTTTCCCTGACCTCATGCCTCTTCTCTGTCTCCTCGCAGGCTTGGGGACCAGTTCTACAAGGAAGCCATTGAGCACTGTCGCAGTTATAACTCGCGGCTGTGCGCAGAGCGCAGCGTGCGGCTCCCCTTCCTGGACTCGCAGACTGGGGTGGCCCAGAACAACTGCTACATCTGGATGGAGAAGAGGCACCGAGGCCCAGGTGAGCCATGATACTCCTGGACGCGCGCATGCTTGGGCTCCCAGTTTGGATGGAGGAAGACCAGAGCTTGTCTGGGAGTCCCCACAGTGCAGGTGGGGGTGGGGCAAGCTGTACAGCAGGCTGAGATGCTTTCAAGAAACTCAACTACTTTTATAGTTCTTGGCAGGTGTTCCACGGATGGTGTGGGTTATTGAATCTTCACTGGTAGGAGAGGGGCAGGGTGTTTAGCTCAAAAAAGGGAAGGCTGAGGGCAGATGTCCTCATCTTTTACCCCCTTGTGCGTTAGTGTAGCTTAGTTACAAGCTGGGAATCAGCAGTCGGATCTGGGTTTGAGGCTTAGCTTTGTCATCAAACCTCCCTTCCTAAGTAAGGTTCCTCATCTGTAAGATTGGGTTAATGATAATACTTACCTCAGGATTTTGTCCGTATTAAATGCATATATTCACTAAAAAAGCTCATAATATGTGTTCTAAAAATGCTGGCTACTATTGTTGACTACTATTACGATGACATTAGTCTTCTGGGCTCCAGAGAACAGAATAAAGACCAGTCGGTGGAGATGAGGGAGGCAACTATAGGAATGCACTGTTTTGGTGCTAATGGTATATTTTAAAAACCTTTTATTATGAAAAGTTTCAAACCCACCCAAAAGTGGAGACAATAGTAAAACCGAATCTCCATGTATTTATCACCTACCCTCAACAATGATCCACTTAATGGCCAATCTTGTTTCATTACGCCCACCTCCCACTTTCTGTCTTGACCCCAGGTTATTTTGAAGCAAATTCAAGATGCATATTATTTTGTCTGTAAACATTTAAGTATGTATTTCTAAATGGTAAGGACTTAAAAAAACAAACAAGCAACAACCAACAAACCAACAATAGCTATCAAAGCTCAAAGTTAACAGGAAGACTTTAATGTCATCAAATATTTGGTCAACATTTATTTCCGCCTATAGTTTAAATCAGGATGCAAATAGGATCTCATTAAAATTTTGGCTATTGTGAAGTACAGTTTACATATGAAAGGTAGGATAAATAATTTTCCCCCCTTTATTTACCAGTTTTCAAAACAATGTGTTTGCTTCCCTAGTATTCTCCAAAGGTGATCAATAAAGTTTGTTTGTTCGTTTGTTTTTATTCATTTATTTTTTGAGTACCATTGTGTATTCACAGATTTACACATATTGGATGCATTTTAATCCATTGCAGCTGTTATTCTCCAGGATTTCTGATAACTTCTTTCTATCCTAAAATTAGGACAAATATTTCAGACTCATGTTAGGCATTTATTGCCCCAGACCTGCAATCAGCTATTTCTCTAAGAAACTCTGTTTTTTTTTGTAGGAAATATTTAGAGACGACATGCTAGAGGTGCTCTTCGTTCCTGGGTTGGTCATTGTTTCTAGGACTTTTCAGTGAACAGAACTAAGAAATATAATTTCTTTCTTTCTTTCTTTCTTTTTTGTTTTTTTAAGATTTTTATTGGGGAATTGGGGGGATGGGAACAGTGCTGGGGAATTGGGGGAAAGGGAACAGACAAGTTGCTGTCGTTTTGTTCTTCAATCTAGTTGTGGAGGATGTTGCTTCACTGGCCCAAGTTGNTTTGGATTGAAGCTGTTGGAAGTGAGTTACAAGCATATTAGGAAAAGTCTAATTTGAGAGCCTCATATAGATTTCTTTTGTACTGGCTTCCAGAAGTTTGTTTTGAAAATGGAAACCTTCTTCTCCCCAGTAGATGAATTTTAGTGTACCATTGTCTTTTCTTTTTTTAATGGGTTGTCTTTCAGCAGAATTTTGGGGGTTGGAATAGTTAATCTTTTTTGGCAGTCTGTCAAAAGATCATGGAAAAACAGATAACTGTTTCTCACATCGTATACCTCTCTGTCATGTGTTCTTGTCAGTTCTCATCAGTGTGGCAGTGGCTGGTCCGCTGGTCCGCTGGTCCGCTGGTCGCAGTTCTGTGGAGGGAGGTGGAGCCTCTAGAACACCCTGGCCAGGCTGTGTCATCTTGTTCAGGCTGAGCTGCCTGTGAAAGTTCTGTTTTCTGAGCTACAGTGCTTTAGCAGGAGGAGACATTTAAGCCGGTGGGACACAGATGCGAACACTTTGTTGGAAATGGTTCTTTATTTTTGATCAATCTCATGATCCTTGTTACCAACTTTGATTACATCAGCGTATGCGCTGTTCCATTTTATAGCTTTTTAATGGGTATCGTCCCCCCTCCCCAATTCAGTTCCAGCTGTGTGACTATTATAATTTGATTACAGTTTAGTTTGCAACTGTTAGGACACATTCTGAACACATTATGCCTTCCTTGTGAGAGTGAAGATGTTTAGAGTGAAAAGGTTCTTATTTTGGTTTTTTTTTTTAAGGAGACATGTCAATAAGGAATTTCTAAATGATGCTTCCGAAGCTTCAGTGATCGTATCCTCCCAAAATAAGAAATTTGCTTTACTCTTTGGTAGACTGTGACCCACTGACTTTTTTTGAGTATAGAAAGATCCATTTAAAAATTTGTCATTTTAATTCTAAATTCA